AAGCACCTAAAGGAAATTTTTATAACAAGAACCTCTGGTTCCAAGCACAGCAAAGAAAAATGGGAAATTTTTCCTAAGCCATACTCGTAACTAAGGCAAATTGTACCCAGATCCAGCAAAAGACAGCTATGGTAGAAAAAACACTGCTGGAGGTGGTTTAGGTTTGGGATTTTTTATTTTCCAAATCATTGAAGTATTGCTGAACTCTGCAGACTTTTTATCTTGGAAGATGAATTAGTATGGGAATTTTGGATCAGGAAACAGCGCCAGAGGAAGCTGCTGCTAACAGAAGCTAACACTGGCCATTCCACTTCAGGCTTCCTTTGAGACTATCGGGCACAAGTGAATGCCAGCAACTACATTTTTGGTAGCATGTTACGGCAGCAATACGTTTTTCCTATCAAGGTCATTTGCTATTGCTGCTGAAACACCACTGCTCTGCAGAAAACTGCAATCAGAAAAGGGGCAGGTTGCAACCTCCATTCAGGAAGTTTTGTCCTCTCTGCTCTGGGCTTTTCATCTTGTCACAAGTTATGGAGCCTTTGCATCTTTACTTTTGATTCTGCCTCCTTCATTCCTGGCTCTGCTAATTCACTTTATTGTTCAAAGTCTTGTATCTACCAAAAGGTAGAAAAATCACTAGCTGTTTGATTAATTCTCCCTAAAGAAGAGCAAAAATGCATTTTAGGAGGCCAACCCTTCCATTCCCACTACACTGCAGTGACTTACGCCAAGCCGTAAATAAATTGTATTCTTGGAATATAATTTCTTATATAGGGCTGTCCATTCTTCTTTTGTACCAGAATAATTTTAGTGTCTTATCTCAATGACAAAGTGGGTAGAATATAAAAATCCTGAGAGTATGGTATCTACCCATAGCTGTGTCTTGAGAATGAAAATGAGAATGGGAAGAGAGGGCATCCTGGGCAGTAACTTGAGAAATACCTGCTTCTTTCCATCATAACGGAAGTAATCTACATCATCTCCTCCCAGCTTCCTGGGGTCATTACCTCTGTGCTGAACAGAGGTCTTTGCACCTACTGAAGGTGGGGAGGAAAGCAGGTGTGACTCAGCTCTGGCAGAGTGCAGGCACATTATAAAGCACTGGTGGAGAGGGTGTCAAGTAGTGAGCAGGGCAAGACAAGGTTTCACTCCCCTGCTGTCCTTTGGGAAACAGTGGCCATGAAGCCTGTGCCTTGGATTCCTCTCTATCACCTGTGTGCTCTGCAGGGATCCACTATATATGAGTAAAGGGCTAAGGGATTGATTTTTTTCATCCAGTGTTTTGGAGAACTGGAAGTTTAATGATACTGTGGTGAAGTGTTTACTGCCTTAAACCACATGTACGTATTATTTTAATCCCATGTCCTGAGACAGGCTGTTTTCTTAGGAAATGTTTGTTAAACACCTTGAAATGTGATGACCTTTCCAGTGTCACAGTAACTGTGAGGTTCCCAGAAGAGCTTTGACAGTGCTAAATTGCAGAAGTGGGTTTTGCAACTGGAAGTGAGGAAGTGATGTTGGAAGTAAAATAAGAAGTGGAATCAGCCACATAATCATTTTGCATATTGATGTTCTATTGCTGGTACTTGAAATATAAAAATGCACATTATAATGTTATTGACAGGGAAAAAGCCAGGAAATACTATTGCATAAAACTGAGTCAAGACTTCTAATGTGTTTTTACAGTGTTGCTTATAACTTAATTACACTTGCTCCTGACAGTATATTTTATCTTCTTATATCTTCTTTATTGCATAGGCATTAATTTAATCAGAGATAATAAATGAAACCTCTGGAATTAATTACAGGTTGTAACAGTTTTGTTCTTTGCTAGAACAGGCAGGAAGACAAAAACATATGGTCCCATAAACATTAACTGGCTTTTGCCATTACAGGAGAAAGACAACAAAGATTAAATTACTTGGAGATGTAGCTGAGAATGCTCAGGCAGTTTTCAGTGTTTCTGAAGCTCAGCAGTTCTCTGTGTGGAAGACCTTGACTACTACATTTCTGTGACCCTTTCAAACCAAAATGCACATTCTGCTTGAATCTATTCAAAAGATCTGAGCTTAAGAACTGCTTTTACAGATTCCCAGGATCTGATCTGTCTGGCAGGAGGGGTCTTTGCAGTCCTGTTTCAATGGAGGCATGCTGCCAGGATTTGGGATCTGCGTGTGAGCTACCGTGATTTCCCTTTGGGCCCTCTTGTTTCTGCCAAACTTGAAGTGGACTTTCTGTGAGTGAGAAGCAAACATGGCTCTATTCCAACAGCACAATATCTGGGAGGGTGTCTGACAGGAAAAAACCTTGCAGAAGAGCCTTTCAAAGCATCTCTAAAAAAATCCCCTCTTGTAGGGGATTTCTTGTGAAGAAAAAAGTCATTACCTGTGCTTAGAAGGCAGAGGGTATCTTGCTTGGTTGCCTAATCTTTCTGATCACAAAGTTAACATCACGGAGTAACTCCATCATATATGAAATTATATATCTTACACTATTTCTAAAATGCCTCTAGTCTGGTTCTTAGTGTGCTATCACAGTAAAAAACTTTCAGATCAATCTGATTTGCTTAGAAGCTTAGTACTTAATCTAATCTTCCATTTTTTAAAAAAAGCAAACAAACAAACCTCTAATGCTGCATTTAGTGATTTTTAATGCATTTTTTAAATGCAATAAATACATCATCTTCTTTGTATTTAACACTCAGGCTGTTGTAGGCAGTTATTTTGTGCTTCACTTCAGTTGTCAGTTTCAGCTGAGCTACACATATATCACACCACTGCAATGTGAACTCACAAGTCAGATTTAAATCCTTCATAATTCCTGTTGTTCTTTTCTTAATGTGCCTCCACAAGATATACATTTTTCAAATACTGAAGTAGTGTGAAATTAATATGATATATCAAGAATGGTCCCATCAGACTTCTGTAGAGGAGGACTGTTATCTACCTGGTCTGTGAAGAGGATTTGTCTACACAACGCAGGAAATATAATCCAACGTGGTATGGAAAGCCTGCCAGTTTGAGCAGTGGGGTATTATGGATTTTGAGCATTCATTCAAGAGTGAACCAGTGCCTGGAGCAGTGTGCTGAGGGCTTAAGGCTGCCACTGGGCACTAACCCAATGTGTCACTACATCTCTCCTTAGTTCGGTGCAGGTGGGAGATAAAGTCTTCTCAAAATCCAGCCACATATCAATATGGTGAATCTGAAGATTTGTGGCTTCATTTCCTCAGCAAAATCATTTCCCTGCTCTCAGAGTGCTCAGTGGTTTTCAGCCCAGGGGCTGCAGGTCTCTGCACTGGCAGATGGCTTCAAGGGGAGATGCCACAAAGAAAAATAAATGTACTGATGCCTGCTGGCAACTGGTCTACAGGAGGTTGAAGCTGCAGTGGAATATTTCAGGGGCTGCAGAAAATAAAGGGTTGAAAACAGCAGCTGTTAATTAATCTCTGTGAGGTGCTTTTCTTTTTTCTTTTTTTTTTTTTTTCCCTGAAATAAGTATGTTTTAATTATTTTCTCCTAGATGTATTAACCAACAGTTTGAATTTCTCATGTTATATTCACTAATGTGTATTATTTCTCTAGCACCCTAAACATTATTTCTCTGCACTCACTGCTTTCTCCAATAAGTCCAAACTCTGGGTCATCTGACAGTTTCAGAAACTCTGTCTTGGGAATTGAATCAGCTCGCTGATCAGGGTTTTTCAGACACTAATAAAGGTACAAGTTAAAGAATCAAAACTGGAAACATGGAAATGATCGGACTGTGCACCTGCAGAATGATAGCTAAATTCCAGCCCTTATTTTTTTTTTTCCTTTTTAAAGTATAAATAAATTAAACTTCAACTTTAGGCTCCCATTTCATGATAAATGCAACTGAATCTCCCTACAGTCTCCTTCCTGAAAGATCAGCCTGTTTCTTTCCCTCAGTCCAGGACATGCACTTTTACCCTAGTTTTCCTGCAGTCACAACATAACTAAGGAACTAACCTAGCCAAAACCACTTTAATAAGTGAAAGTTTTCAACTAGTTTAACTAGTTACAGCCATTCACTAAAGAAAGTCTGACAGGAGTCAGGGAGGGAGCATGGACAGCCTGTTTTTGTAGCAGCCCTTATGTGCATCAGCTGCAATCATGTACCTGCAAGCCCTGGAACCTATCCTAGAGCACTGCACACTCACAGTCTCCCATGTTTGTTCATGTTGCCAGCCCCCTCTGAGGGTTTGGTACAGGAGGCCCAGAGCACCATGGCTGCCTCTTTCCAGCCATCATTCATTTTATGCACAGAAGGAATTCGCCTTCCTTGAGCACCTCAGTGACACCCAGAATAAAAATTATATATTTGTTTAATGGATGAAAAATATGAAGCTGTGGGAAGCTAAAGGGCATGACTAGTGCTGGGAAGGCAATCAGTGACAAAGGCAAGAAGGAAAAGCAGAGTTTTCCCTGTGATGCTTCCCTCTGCCGTCTGTACTCTTTCATGAATGCTCAGAATCTCTGCAGTTTATTCTGGCTATGACTGATGCTCCAACATAATCTGAATGGCAGACTCCCTGCCTTGTGATACTAGTACTGAAATTTAAGAAAGATACATGGCATGATAAATAACAAACACAGTCATTTCAGAGTGTGTGCTAAGGGTGGTATAAGGCCAGAAACATCATTTTCTTTCTGTTCTTTCCTTTCAAATATATCTTTATTTTTTAAAGCTATTTTTCTTTAGTAACCTTAAGCACCTTCAAGCAATTGAGTAAGATATTCCTCTTTTCTGGATTTTATCAGAGAATAAATAAAAAGCAGTCTGCTTTTTATTTAGAATATTTTTTTAATTTTAGAATAAAAGATTTATTTTTTTTTAGAAATGGTTTTTGTCTCATAATCTACTAGATTCCCATCCTCCCTGGTTTTATGTACCTCTCTAGACACCAGTTTTAGAACTATTGCTTCACAGGAAACTTCAGATCATCCAAATCCTATTTTAATACTGGTTGTGAAAATAGTTAATACATTACTGTAGGACCTTCTTCATGAAATAAACTTATTCTTAGCTGTTGCCAAAGACTGTCTAGTTGTCAGGTAGAAGATGTGCCTCAGGATGTCAGGGACTGCCATGTGCAATGCCATATTGGGAAAGAAGGGTGCTCCTGCTTTCAGTAGATGGATTTATTTTATTATAAAATACATTACAAAGTGCTTTGTTTTCCTCTGTCATCCTGAATAAGTTTTCTCTCATCTCATCCATTCCCCTATTGCTTCTCTGAAGCCATTTCTCAGAGATTCTTTGTTAATTATCTTCCAACAGTTCTATGTGTTGAAAAAGCTGCTTAAAAAAAAAACCAAAAACCCAAACAAAACCTGAAATTAATATTCAAGTATCTGCAAAGGGAAGAAATATTCACCATCTCACTTCACCAAGCATTTAAACTTTCAATACTTACATGTCTTCAGGATAGTTTTGGGGGCAGCGGAAGTCTCTGAGCTATTCTTATCCTGCAAGAGCATTTAAAGTAATTTCTTCTTACGTTCTCATTAATTTTTAATACATTATTATGTGGATGTCCATCTTCTCCTTTTGACAGCTTTTATTTTTGTCAGACAAATAATATGCTCAAAGTGCTTGCTTGCTATTCTATGTATGGAAATAAAATCTTTGCTTCACCTAGAAATTGTAAAGAACACAGATCACACAGTGTTTACCAGATTGCAGCTGAGTACAGAATTTTGACTATTAAATGATCCCACTGGAACTCAAAAGCAGTCCACATGGGCACCTTCCAATTCCCAGCTAATAATTACTGCTGGCTGTGCTAAGTAGCACTGCAGCAGTGGTACCTTTCAAAGAGCTGGTACACAACCCATTTAGCAATAGGCAGAAGCTGGGAAAGTGAAGCTCAGGTCTTTATCCCTAATCAAAATTCATTATTTAGAGGGATCTTTGTTTAAATTTAGGTGTGATAAAAACCACTGTGACTGAGGTCTTTAATCTAGAAGTGTGAGGTTTAGCAGCCTGCTAATTCAGTTGTTGTATTTATTTAATATTTGCAGTTAACTGGAAAAGGAATGTGATGGAAAGAAAGTACACCGGTCATGTTTTTATCACAGAATAATAGAAAGGGTTGTGTTTCGAGGGATCTTAATGATCTCGTTCCAACCCCCCTCCTATGGGCAGGGACATCTATTAGATCAGAGCTCCATCCAACCTTGCCTTGAGCACTTGCAGGAATGAGGCATCTGCAGCTACTCTGGGCAACCTGTTCTAGCGTCTCACCACTCTCATTAACGACGATCTGTGTTAATAAAAATGTAAGATACAGTGTCACAGGATTACCAGCATAACGTGCTGCAGCAGTAACCATTTGTGCAGGTTCGCAAACGATCCTGCCAACAGCTCAACCGCAAGCAGTGACAGATTATTTTTTAAAACGAGAAAAAAACTGAACTGTAAAATTAAGATTCTGACTTTTCCCTTGCGAGACAACGTTTCAAGCACCGGCCTTTAAATACCAAAGCAGCTGCGGGTTCACGCTTTAGGCTTAGATCTAGAAGGAAACAGGAAAGCAGAGACACCCCCGCCCCCCAACCTCTCTCCAAGCCCAGGACACCCTTTCCTTCCCGCACTCCTGTGCAGCAGCCACCAGCGGGGCACATGCCGGGGGTGCGGGGACCTGACCTAGACCCATCCTCCAGGACCCCGGGGCACCGCGGGAGCCCCAGCGGGCCTCTGTGTGGGGCTCTGTGTGCGGTTCGGGGCGCCATAAACCCCCGAAAGGGAGAAGCAGAACTCCCCCCTGCTCCCCCTCCCTCCGGCCGGAGCTCCCCGCCGTCCCCTCCGAGGGCGCGGAGCAGCACG